CAGTGAAGTCGCACGATTTCCAAATCAGATTGGACGTGAACAGCGCCTATAGTGGACAATAGGTTGCTACTTGGCAAATGATTTGCAAGTCGCCTGGCATGCATATCGCATGCCAAATTGCACCTGATGTGACTGGGAGCCACACCGGTTATATCACAGCGGATTTTGAAGTGGTGTGACTTACAGTGAAGTCGCACGATTTCAACATTGGATTTGATGTGAACAGAGCCTATAGCGGACAATAGGTTGTGACTTGGCCTACGATTTGCAAGTCGCTTGGCATGCAAATCGCATGCCAAATCGCACCCGATGTGACTGGGGGCCACCCCGGTCACAACAAAGCGGATTTTGAAATTGTGTGACTTACACCACAGTCACTTCAAGCCCAGCTTGTAAAGCATGTGACTTACAGTGAAGTCGCATGATTTCAAAATCGGGGGACATGCAGATTTCAAGTACGATTTGCAAGACATCTGACACAGATCTCTCTGCAAATCGCATGACCAAGTTTGAACCACACCGATATAACTGCTCTAATAGCGGTTACATTGAGTGCAACTTGGAATGCAATTTGAATGAATTGCGACTTGCAAATTGTATGTCAAATCGCACCCTATTGTCCGCTATTAGAGCGGTCACATGGGTGCGTTTCTGACACTGATTTCTAAAGTAGTACATGTACTACTTTTGTGGCAATTTGCATAGATATCTGTGTCAGATGTCTTGCAAATCACAAGGAAATCAGCAACTTCACTGTAAGTCTCACGATTTCCAAATTGGCTTTGATGTGACCGGGATGTAAGGTCTTTTTATGTTTGATTTTCTGAGTGTTTTTCTGATTTATGGGAAATGCCGCATACTAGCAAAAGTGAATTGACATTTTCAGTATTGCATGCAAGATGCGGTCATGTGACTGCCTTAACTCATGTGATAATCTGGAGTGAATTGTGCCCATAGTGTCAATAAATGTTGCCATAGGGTTCCCCTTCACATCCCTGTTCAATGTTCTGTTGTATGCTGCACACGTACACTTCACTGTTGCTTTCTTTCTGACTCTGATTTGTGGGGCCCGTATACCAAGGGTTAACGCAGGTGGGAATAGGATTGGTGCCAGCTAATCAGGTGCAATCACTTTCTCTGACCAAATAAATGACAGTGGTGGGTGTGGCCTTTGATGGGGGTGGGGCCTTGTTTGGCATGCTCCAAATCCAACCTATGTTATATAAAAACCTGCAGTAGTGGGTGGTTAAGCCTGATAATAGGCCAGGTTATTTTCAGCAAGTCCTTACCTGTGGTGGATTTGGGGGGGGGGGATATTGTGCTGAATTGCCCCAGACCCCACTTAGGCTGTTTTTTTGATGTGGGCTGTAAATGTTTTGCATTTTTTCCTTCTAAAGTGTGTTTGTGTATTATTGTACAATGATTGTGTGTTTATTATCTCCGCATTGTAATCCTAACACATGTCAACTGCTTTGCTCTTCCAAATCTGAACTTGGCTATAGTTTGCTTTTTTATACTGAAATGCAGTTTTAGGACAAATCTGATTAGAAATGTATGTGTGGGGGATTTGAGGAGGTGGGAGGTGTTTGTTATTTTGTCACTTTCATATGTATTTTTTTATTGATATTTTGATATGAGGCCTGTTTTGTGAATAGATAATCCTACTAAGTGATGTTGTGTGTTAATTTTATGGCTCTGAAAATGTTGCTTGATTCATATTAACCGTTTGTTTCCTGCTGTAACCTTTGAAAGCACTGTTCATTAGAAGTATAATCTTTTAGATTGTAAGCTCTTATGAGCAGGACCGTTCTATTTTAGCAACATCAATCCTGCTTTTTTTTTCCCACCAAGAAATTGATTGTACCTACTTGTTGCTGCTGTCCAAATAAATGTGGAATATGTATTTGATCAATAAAACGTTTGGACTATGTATTTTTTGGGGGGGTTATTTCATGTTCAAGTTCAATATACTAGCACCCCTAACACTTATTTTTGCTACCTATATAATATGCCCAAATCTAGCTTGTTAGAGTGCACATATGGAAGAATGTCCAAACTAACAAACCAAAAGCCCCCTATGGCACCACAAGACCATGTTCTGTACCAATGAATAGGTCGTGTTCAATGTGCAGCTAGCTATTCTTTTTCTACAATCCTCTTAACAGTAATAAATTAGGCCCCCAATTTATGTTGACTTTGGGCCTTTACTGGCAAACATATATTTGCCAATGTCATATACACAATAGAGCTGCAAACATACATTCACCAATGCCAAATACACAATAGAGCTGCAAAGATATATTCGCAAATGTCATATACACAATGGAGCCGTATGGAAAACTGCTATGGTGCATAAATAAACACCAAGATGCCTGTTGGAGGAGGCGCTAGAGCGGCTGTCATACTGGAAATACGTCATCACGTTTGCGGAAGGATGTTCGTGCGCACCTGGAAGTGGTAATCGGGAGTGTTAGTGGAGGGAGTGCAGTTAGGAGAGTTTAGTGGTAATTTGCAAATCTATTTTTTGGCTTTGTGAATTGTTCTGTTGTGGAATTCCAGACCACATCTGGACATGGCGAGATCACTGTTCACCAAGGAGCTGATCCTCATTTGCAGGGAAAACATTACTAATAATTGTTGTATTTTCAGTTGTAAACATGTCCGATTCCTAGATACATTGAGGTACATAGCAGAGGTTCAAGATATTCCATAGAAGAAGTTATTGTTCATCCTAACTATACAGGTGGCACAGACACAAGCATACACCCAGGGCCACTGTTAGATATCACGGGGCCCCGGACAGCATACCTGACAGCCTCCCACCACCAGAGAAAATATCCAAATTATATTTATGGTAAAAAATACACTAAAAACATTATCAATGGACATAATCCCAACCATATTCCTGTGAAATCTAAATGATAGAACTGTACTGAGTTCATAAATAAAGCTGTGTGTGTAATTGAAGTCTTAGGGCTCATTCATATGGGTGCTGTGGCCTGTAGAGTGTGAATCAGTGGTTTGTTTTTGTGGCTGTTGCCGTTTGCAGGCAACCTATGTCACACAATGGAAATGCTGCAGGTCCTAATTTGACAGGCATATGGGTGCAGGTGTACAGCTCTGAACATAGACAGTGAGCATTCAGGGCAATTTCCCCACGCCTGCACACCTGTCAGATGAAAACCTGTGTTCATACAGCTGCTGTGTCCCCATAGTGTAACAGGTGGCTCCAGCCACATGAACAACCCACTCATTCATGCTGTACAGGCCAGAGGACCTGCATGAATGTGGCATTTTTTACTTTTTTTTGTTCAGCCCATTAATTTCAATGGGCTGCCTAATGTGTGGGAACATGCAAAAATACTGCAGGCATATTATTTTAAAAATGTGTTGCACCTAACCGCACAGTAGTGTGGTACCATGCATTTTGGTGGCTGTGAATGCATCTGTGTTTACTAGACGTGTGGAGGTGCAATTTAGTTTTCATCATGGTACTTGTGCACATCTGCAGGGGGAATTGCATTTGTTTGATGTGTAGGAAAATGTATGCTCTTGCATGCGTTTCTGCACCGCAAATGGTGCGAACAAGTCCTAAGGGCCAGTTCACACTATAGAAACACAGTCTAGATGCATTTTTGCATGCACTTTTTTGATGCAGGTTCAGTGCATTTTGGATGCGTTTTTAACATGTTCCAGTGCATTTTTTATGCATTCCAGTTCATTCTTTCCCCTCTCTTCTTCTTCAGTTTAATTAGGGACATGTGCGTTTTAGTGCGTTCCAGGGCATTTTACTGAGTTCCAGTACAGTTCTGTATATAAACAATGCAGCCTGTTCGACTTTATTTGCAGCACCTGCAACGCACTGGAACTGCAAGCGCTGTTGTGAACTATGACATTGACAACCATATAACCTTCTTTCTGTGCGTTTTGGATGCAGAAAAATTAACTGAAACACATGTAGTGTGTACTGGCCCTAAAGGTTATTATAGGTAAGAGAATGGTGTAGAATAGAATTAATTTAGCTTCTAACATATATCTGTATTCTTTAATATTTCTGATTCCCCAAAGTCACATTGAAACTTAGCATTAGCTAGTTTAAAATTAACCATGCGTGTGAATGGCTTTGTAAACAGGTGTTCGAGTATACCATAGTATTTCATGGCTAAGAGGTCAGTAGGTCATAGGCCTCCCTTCTTAAAATATATCTCTTGGAATGCAGTAAAGAGCTAAGAAAGAGCTAAGTAATATGTATTTTATAAATAAAATAATTTCTAATCTATAATATAGTTATTATTATTATACAATATTTATATAGAGTCAGAAGGTTTGCTCAGCACTGTGCATTATAGTGGGGGACAGAACATGAGACAATACAGTAACAAAACAATTCACGAGGTTTCGGGGGCCCGGCTCTTTCGAGCTTACAATATAGTTAGTTAGTTAGATAGTGTATATTCTCAATTAATATTGATTATGTTTATGCATTAATGTGTTCACTGTGCTTGAGTTAAAGGTTGAACCTATTTTAAAAGAATTGAGTTATGTGATGGGAAGATCATATAACAGTCTAATGTAACTGTTGTATCTGCCAAGTAAAAGAGGGTCTGCTCACAGCCAAATATGCACTGCTAGTTTACCTTGCTAAGACAGTCCATTAAAATCATAATGTTCTGTAATACAGGTTAAAGGTTTCCCTAAAGTATGCTAATTACTACTTAAAGACCGCTCTCCCGCAATGTACTGCGGGTGGGTGGCAGCCACAGCTGTTTTATGGGTTTGCGTGCATCCCCCTGCTGACCCCCGCTATCATTCGTTGCAGGACATGTTTGTTGGTAGGTTCTGGTCAATGATTTCCTGCAAGGAATGGAGAAGCAGAGTTGTGCCTATATTTGTAAATACAGGTACGGAATCTAGCTGTATCTTCTTTCCTTGGAACCTTTTTGTTCCAGGGAGAGAAGAAAGAGACACCACATGTTAGTAAAAGCAGCACATTTGCACACACACCTGAGATAGCACGTTTTAATCCCTTGATTGCCATATTTACCCCTTTGTTCACTCCATGTCACCCTGCCAGTGCCATTAGTACAGTGTCAGTGTATAGTATTTTTTACTGATCTCTGTATTTCTGCCACTAGTGACGTCAGATAGTGTCAGGGTCAGTTAGCGCCCTTCCCAGCCAGGATCAGCTAGCATTTGCCCACACATTATTGCACTCATGCTATAGGTCGCTAATCACCCCCATTGCTAGTATATTGTTTGTATGGATCAATATATTGATTGATATTGAACTATACCAGTGGCCTCTTAGTATTAGTGTCCCTATAAATGCAGTGTTAGCAGGATCAGCCCCGTTCACTGCCAGCACTTGCATTTAGCCCCTCCACCCAACCCCACCCCCCCCCCCCCCCCCCACACACACACACACACCCCTGACAAGAAGTGCAGTGTCAGTGTAATTTATAATCACTGCCACCTGTGATACATTGCACACAAAACCAAAACACTGTCAGGATCAGGCCTGATCTCTGCTAGCATGAGCAGGGGAATTTTATTGGTAGTGTCTCAAGCAGTCCCTGAAAGCCAGGTGCTCTTTTTTCCTATGTCTATGTTCTCTGCTGCCATGGCCAGGCGTAGATATGAGACTGTAACATGCTTCATGCATTTCAATGGTTTCATACAACACACTCTGTTGTCCTTGAGGTTACCCTGAACATGGCTAGCTCTACAAAATTGCACCTCACTGAAAAATTTGCAGATGTGTATACGTCCCAGCAAAACATCTGTATGAATGAGTCCCTTGTATTCAAACAGTACCTCCCCAGCAAGCGTGCCAAATCTGAGGTCAAACTGTATCAGCTCTGTGAGAGGGCCACGGACTATAAATGTAATTTTAGGGTTTATGAGGGAATAGGCAGTGTTAATAGTGCCTCGACTGCCCAGACTACATGGGGAGCAGTGGCAAGATAGTATGGGACTTGTTGTCATCTTTATTCTGCAATGAGTACCACTTTTATATGGACAACATCTATACAAACATGCCACTATTTAGACATTTGTACAATTTTGGAATTGGCTCATGTGGCACTGTGCAACCTAATTGTCAGGGCTTGTAATGGCTTGTAAACACTGGACTTAGAAATGGGGACAAAGCTTGCTTGAAAAATAATGAATTGCTTGCAGTGAAGCGGAATGACAAATGGGATGTTTTCATCCTGTCTTCCATTCACACAGACACGATGACCCAAATTAGCATGATATCCGGCATTGTTGAGAAACCCCTCTGTGTGCACGACCATAACCTTAACAATGGGAGGCGTGGACTTCAACAACCAATTGATGAATCCGTACCTAGTTTTCCAAAAAGTTCGACACCGTTACAAAAAAGATGTTTATTTGTTTCAATTTGTTATATATAATGCTTTTGTAACTCACAAAGCACCTAGACGAAGTGGATCCCTCTAAAATTTCATGAAGGGATCATCATTGCCAATTTATATCCAGAAGGTGCTGTGGCCCAGTCCCCAAATCCAGATTCACTGAGCTGACTGCATGAGAGGCATTTTCTGGATGTCCTCTCTGGTACCCCAAGCCAAAGGTCACCCCAAAGAAGATGTTTTGTCTGTACTAGCATGGAATATGACTCGACAACCACTTTTTTTGTCCCTCCTGCCCTCGTCAATCTGGTCTTTACCTAAAGGACAGCTTCTGCCACTACCACACACTATTAGTATAGGGTACAGCACGGCACAATCTAGGGCACATTTTCACAATTCTCACACAGGGTCTTGAAAGATGTTAGACAGTCAAGAAACTGTCTATTGCATTTTAAGAGACCCTAAGGCTGTTCCTCAAAGTAAAAAAAACTGTAAAAAAAAACCATAGTTAAAAAAACGTGTATTATTGAATTAATGTTCCTTTGTTATTGTGTTTTATCGTTAACCATTGTTGTTTGCTTTGCAGGAATACCATTCAGCTGCAACACAGATCTGTTTATTCTGACAGCAACAGGGTCTTGCTCTCAGAATGTAAACATCAGTGCATGCAGTGCTGCTGGATGAGATTTTTAATTTGCAGTAAAAAAACCCAACATATATGCCCAAGCATGGGGGCCTGGGGTGTCAGTGGGTAGATCACTCCTATTCTTTGACATATATATTTTTCATTTTTTTGGCACAGATTTCAACTAAAAATATGTTGTTTTATTGAATTAATGTTCTATTGTTACTGTGTTTTGTTGTTAACTGTTGTTGTTTGCGTTGCAGGAACACCATTCAGCTGCAGCACTGATCTGTTTATTTTGACAGTAACAGGGTGTTGCTCTTAGAATATATATGTGAGTGCATGCAGCACCGCTGGATGAGATTTTTTTCATCCACAGTTAAAAAACAACATAAATGCCCAACATGTGAGCCTGGAGTGGTCAGTGGGTGGATCACTCCTATGCTTCGGAATATATATTTTTTTGGCAGAGATTTCTTCATCCACATTGATTGATGTGAATGGAGGAATATTTTAGGTTCTTCTTTTCGTGTAGCCCACATTACATACAGTTGCAAGAAAAAGTATGTGAACCCCTTGGGATTACGTGGAGTTTTGCATGAATTGAGCATAAAATGTGCTCTGAAGGTCATGTAAATCACAACAATAGAAGAACACAGTCTGCTAAACATAATACTACACAAACATTAGATGTTTCCATGGTTTAATTTCACATAACATGTAAACATTCACAGTGCAGGGAGGAAAAAGTATGTGAGGCCCTAGCTTAATGACTTCTCCCAGAGCTAATTGGAGCCAGGAGTGAGCCCACCTTGACTCCAATCAGTGTGATGATATTGGATGTGTTGCTGACAGCTGTCCTGCCCTTAAAAAACACACACCTGTTTTGGGTTTACTGGTTTCAAGAAGCATTGTCTGATGTGAACCATGCCTCGCAGAAAAGAGCTCTCAGAAGACCTACGATCAAGAATTGTTGACTTGCATGAAGCTGGAAAGGGTTACAAAAGTATCTCCAAAAGCCTTGATGTTCATGTGTCCACGGTAAGACAGACTGTCTACAAATGGAGAAAGTTTAGCACTGTTGCTACTCTCCCTAGGCGTGGTCGCCCTGTAAAAATGACTGCAAGAGCTCAGCACAGAATGCTGCATGAGGTAAAGAAGAATTCCAGAGTGTCAGCTAAAGACCTACAGAAATCTCTGGCACATGCTAACATTTTTGTTGACACATCTACAATAAGGAAAACATTAAACAAGAATGGAGTACATGGGGGGACACCACGGAGGAAGCCATTGCTGTCCAAAAAGAATATTGCAGCACGTTTGAAGTTTGCAAAAGAAACACCTGGATGTTCCACAGCACTACTGGCAAAATATACTGTGGACAGATGAAACCAAGATTGAGTTGTTTGGGAAGAACACACAACACTATGTGTGGAGAAAAAAAGGCACAGAACACCAACATCAAAACCTCATCCCCACTGTAAAACATGGTGGAGGGAGCATCATGGTTTGGGGCTGCTGTGCTACCTCAGGGCCTGGACGGATTGTTGTCATTGATGGGAAAATGAATTCCAGAGTTTTTCAAGACATTTTGCAGGAAAACGTACGACCATCTGTCCACCAACTGAAGCTCCGCAGAGGATGGGTGATGCAACAGGACAATGACCCAAAGCATACAAGTAATTCAACAAAACAATGGCTGCAACAGCACAGAATACGCCTTCTGGAGTGGCCCAGTCAGAGTCCTGACCTCAACCCGATTGAAATGCTGTGGCATGACCTTGAGAGAGCGATTCACACCAGACATCCCAAGAATATTGCTACACTGAAACAGTTTTGTGAAGAGGAGTGGTCCAAAAAAATTACTCCAGATCGTTGTGCAGGTCTGATCTGCAACTACAGGAAACGTTTTGGTATTATGTTGAGACTGTGTTCTTCTATTGTTGTGACTTAGATGGCGTTCAGAGCACATTTTATGCCCAATTCATGCAAAACTCCACGTAATCCCAAGGGGTTCACATACTTTTTCTTGCAACTGTATATGCCCAATAAGGACCAGTGATATACTGATACATTGTTGGACTTTGAGTAGTTATACCAGGATGACACCTGTAGCTGCTGGCCTCATCCTGGTATAATTTTTTTCAGCTGGCAGTCGACTTTCATGTAAAAGTAATTCTAGTGGCTGGCTAATTAGCCACTAGATTGCTTTTACAAGCAGCAGGAAGGGACTCCTGCCGCCTTACATGGCTTACTCAGACTTTCCCATCCCACAGGGGAAACCAAGAATGCAGCTTATGGTTCTGCCTGCTGACCAAATGCCTGATCAGAGACCAGAATGGCTCCAAACATCTCTATGGTCTAAGAAACTGGAAGCTACAAGCAATTCATCACTTCAATTTCGCTGGATATAAACAGCGCCATTTTTAAAAGCAGGAAAACATCTGATCACACTTATGTTAGTGTGATCAGATGCTTTAAGGGCAGAGGAGAGATCTAGAGTCTAATAGACTCCAGATTTCTCAGAAAAGAGAACCTATCACTGCCTATTGCTATCATAGGGGATATTTACATTCCCTGTGATAACAAAACAATTAAAGGGACAGCGTAAAAATAAAAAAGCAAAATAAATAATTAAAACCCCTGTTTCCCCCTGCCCGTGAGCAAAGGCGACCACAGCTTCGGTCCTGTGGACCGAAAAACAGCTGTAAACAGCGATAACACAATCGCTGTAAACAGCGATTGCATCATGCATGTGAGGTATCACCGCAAACATCAGATTGAGTGCAGTAATTCTAGCACTAGACCTTCTGTGTAAGTCCAAAGTGGTAACCTGTAAAGGCTTTTAAAGCTTCATCTATGGATATTAAAAATGTATGCATTTTGTTGCCATTGCACTGGCATGGGCAATTTTAAAGCAATTTTCTATTTGCTCAGTGTAACATCATCTTTTATATTTTACAAAAAATTGGCCAATGTATTGTGTTTTTGTGCATTAAAATTCAAAAAAGTGTATTTTTTCCAAACAATTTGTATTTGAAAAATTGCTGCGCAAATACTGTATGACCAAGATTGCAACACCCACCATTGTATTCTCTAGGGTCTCTGCTTTAAAACATATATAATGTTTGGGGGTTAAACTAATTTTTATAGCACAAAATACAGAAGAGGCTTAATCTCCTAGTGGTTAGAAGAGTGGGTGATGTTAGGCATAAAAATGCCAGGACAGTCCAAATACCCCCAAATGACCCCTTTTGGAAAGTAGACACCCCAAGGTTTTTGCTGAGAGGCATATTGAGTGAAAGATTCTATGTTTTTTCACAAACTTTTCGAAAATGTATTTTTTCTTTTTTACACAAAATTGTCACTTTAATGATATATTGCTCACACATGACATTGGTATATGTGGAATTACACACTCAAAGCTCATTCTGATCCTTCTCCCAAGCATGGGGATACCACATGTGAGACAATTTTCAGCAGTTTAGCCATGTACAGGACCCCAAAATCCAATAAGCACCTTTAGGCTTTTAAAGGGCTTTATTTCCTCATTACACTTCCTGACTGCCTATCACAGTTTCAGAGGCCCTGAAATGCCAGGATAGTACAAACACCCCCTAAATTACCCCTTTTTAGAAAGTAGGCACTCCAAGGTATTTGCTAAGAGGCATGGTGATTATTTTGCAGGTCTCATTTGTTGCCACAAATTTTGGAGAATGAAGAAAGAAAACAAAAATTAATTTTTTTATTTTCTTTTTTTTCTAAACCTTGTGAGAAAAAATACTATCTGCAAAATACTCACCATGCCTCTTATTCAATTCCTTGGGGTGTCTACTTTCCAAAATGGGGTCATTTGGGTGGGGGGGTATTTGTACTATCCTGGTATTTCAGGGCCTCCAAAACTATGATAGGTAGTGAGGAAGTGACATGAGGAAATGTGCATTTTAAAATCCTGAAGGTGGTCATTGGATTTTGGCGACCAGTGTGTGGATAGACAGCCAAAAAGTCTCTCACATGTGGTATTCTCATACTTGGGAGAAGCAGCAGAATATGTCTTCGGTGTTATTCCACATATACCCATGTATGTGTGAGCAATATATCATTGAAGTGACATCTTTGTATAAAAAAAAAAAAGAAAAAGCATTTTTTGTTATTTTCCAAAAACTTGTGGTAAAAAAATAAAACCTTCCATACACTCAACATGCCAATCAGGTAGGTACTGAGAAAATGAAATGAGGAAAAATGCCCTTTGAAGATCTGATGGTGGCCATTGTGTTTCGGGCCCCGTATGCAGCTAGGCTCCCAAAAAGTCTCTTACATGTGGTATCCTCATACTCAGGAGAAGCAGCTGCATGTATTTTGAGGTGTAATTCCACATATATCCATGGCATGTGTAAGCATATCATTTAAGTGACAGCAATGTGTAAGAATGTTTTTGTCATTTTTCAAAAACATGTGACAAAAAATCAAAACTGCCATGGACTCAGCATGGCTCTCATCAAATTCCTTTCCAAAAAAGGGTTATTTTTTTCGGGGTGTACTGCCCTGACATTTTAGCACCTCAAGAAATGTGATAGGCAGTCAGAAAGTACAAGCTGCATAAATTCCAATATATATACCATAGTTTGTAGACACTATAGCTTTCACACAAACCAATTAACCACTTGCCCTCCTGAGGATTTACCCCTTTTCCTGACCAGGCCATTTTTTGCATCACAGCGCTGCGTTATTTTAACTGATAATTGCGTGGTCATGCAAGACTGCACTAAAATGAATTTTAAGACCTTTTTTCCCACATATTGAGCTTTCTTTCGGTGGTATTTGATTGCCTGTGCATTTTTATCTTTTGCGCTTTGGAAAAAAAGACCGACAATTTTGAGAAAAAAATATTTTTGACCTTTGTTATTAAACATGTCCAGTAAAAAAAATTTTAAAAATCAAATGTCATCATAAATTTAGATCAAAATGTATTCTGCTACATGCCTAAGCAAAAACAAATCTCAATACGTTTAAATTAATTGATTTAGATGAAAGTTATAGCATTTATAAATGGCGGTATTGATACTGGAATTTTTATTTTTATTTTTACTAGTAATGGCGGTGATCAGCAACTTATAGTAGGACTGCGGGGGGCATTCTGACACTTGGGGGAACTGACTTGGTGTCACTGACATCCCCTGTGACACCAATACAGTGATCAGTGCTAAACAAAAGCACTGGCACTGTACTAATGGCACTGGGCAGGAAGGGGTTAACATGAGGTGTGATCAAAGGGTTAACTGTGTGCTGGGTGTGTTTTACTATGGGGCATTGTGTTTGTGTTTCGCTGTAATCACACTGCTTTGAATGTCTGTGCACAGCCATGCAAAGCAGTGTGCAGGAGCTGACAGGGAGGAGAACTGTATTGTTTACATACAGTTCTCCTCCCCATCGGAGATGCTCGGTAATCACTGGGCGCCAATGATTGACAGCTGCGGCTGCGAATTGTTGCACATGTAGGGAAATGCAAAATCACTTATATATACATGATTTTGTGCACCCCTGCTGCCCTGTAGCAGTATATCTGCTATAGGATGGTCGGGAAGTGGTTAATATACACTTATTGGGATTTTTTTTTTCCAAAGACGTAGTAGAATACATTTTGGCCTAAATTTAACAGAAAGTAGAAAATATTATTATTTTTTTTTTATTTATATCACAAAAAATGAAAAACACAGTAGTGATCAAATATCACCAAAAAAAGCTCTATTTGTGTGAAAAAAGGACATAAATATGGTTTGGGTACAGCATGTATGACCACGCAATTATTAGTTGAATTAGCACAGTGCTGAATAGCAAAAAATTGCCTGGTCATGAAGGGGGGTAAATCTTCTGCACCTGAAGTGAATATGTGTAATTGTTTATGTTTCAATCATTTTAATTGGAAATTTTTGCATAGAAATACAAAATATACCCGTATGCAGTAGATCAACATTCTACAGACATGGATAAGATTAGAGAAAATAGGTAAAACAGAACAGAGAAAAACAATCATGAAAAGACCAGTGACATAATAACATTTACATTTAAAATGTCAAAGCTTAAAGAGATCAGTGAGGTGTTCACACAGTTGGGTTTGTTTGGTACCATCTGAGCCAAGGTTGCCAAAGTGCAAATACTTTTCTACATTTACTTTTGCTAGAGGTCATCGCAAGTTCATAAGAACAATGCCTGTGAACTAATGTGATGGCATCAAACGCAGTGGGTGGATGAGAAGTTTTTCAAGATCTAGTAATACTCAATCTGGCTACCATAAGAATGTGGGTGACAGAGTGTTTAGCATGGGGGTTAATGCTCTCAATATTTAAATTCAGTAACACTGAATCCTGATTCATTGGAACAGTGGACTGTGAAACAGCAGATAAAATTTGAAAAATCGTAGACCAGAAGTTGTTTAGGAGCGGACAATGCCAAAATATGTGAATAAAGCTCCCAGGGTTCCCGCAGTTCCTCCAACACAAGGGGATATGTGGTTATTAAAAAGTGCCATTTTAACAGAGTGAGATACCATCTAAGGGATATTTTTTGTGTTAATTCCCAAAGTGTCGAGCAGCAGGTGGCTTGGTAAATTGATTGAAATGCGTGAAGTCATTGTTGCTCAGCATAAACAGAAGCAAGATCATCCTGCCATTGGAGAAGTGGTCTAACCTTGGTAAATTATTTCTTTTGGATTAAGATATTGTAAAAAAGTGAGATACCTTTGGTTTCAATAGAGGAGCGAGAGATATAGTTCCAAGTGGGTTTAGGAAGTTTGTAAAAGGGGTAGGATTGTGTAGATAGGCATGGGGATATCCTAAGGTAAATGAAAAGTAATTGGGGAGGTAGGTGGAATTCTTGTTGAAATGATGTGAATGATTTAAGAGAGGAGTCATTAAACAAATCCTGAATTAATGCTATGCCTAATGCGGACAAGTGGTGTATAGGAATATCTGGGGTAAGATGTAATAAAATGTGCAAAGGTAGATTAGGCATCACTGCTTGCATGGAAGGACAAGGCGCACAGATGAGAATCTGCCATGCAAAGATTGTCGCTACAATAGGCGGGGGGAGAGTGGGTGAGATTGCAATCCCTAGGGGTTTTCTCAGGAGCCATGCACTTAGATTCTCTCCTTGAATGTAGGTAGATTCTATTTGACTCCACAATGTAGCAGTAGATGAGGTGTTAAACCATTCTCTCAGTTGTGAAAGTATAGTTGCTGTATAGTAATCACTAAAGTTAATATATCCAGAGCCTCCTACTGATCTATGTTTTGTAAGTGTTGCATGAGTGCAGCGGGGTTTCTTTCCTTGCCATATGTATTTGTTTAATGAAGTTTGTAAGGAATTTGAAGTACGAACGGAGGATAGGAATGGGGAGGGTTCTAAATAAATAAAGCAGCTGGGGAAGAATAGGCATTTTAAAGGCAGCAAGCCTAATAGCCCAGCAAAGCTCATGTTGTTGTAATGATTGCAATTCTTGTTGCATTTTTGAGAGAAATGGAATGTAGTTGGCCAAAAACAAACCTTTAACTGATTTGGTTAATCGTATTTCTAAGTAAGATATGCCGGAGTCACCCCAAGCAAAGGGGAATTGATTCTGCAATGTATTCCTGATGATACCATCTAGACCTAGATCCAATATTACGGATTTATTCTCATTGACCTTATAATACTACACTCTGCTGAACCAGTTTAGAGTACGATATACTCGGTCAAAGAGAAAGTTGGATCAGAAATTAAAAGGATAACATCATCGGCAAACAAAGTTTGTGAGTGCAATGACCAATAGAGAAGCCTTTTATGTAGGGGTTAGAGCGTATATGCCCTGCTAGGGCTTCCATAAGAAGATTAAAAATTAACAGCGATAATGGGCATCCTTGCCTTGTTCCGATAGTTATGTGAAAGGGACAAGATAACATGTATGAGGAATAAACCTGAGCCGAAGGGGTAGTATAGAGGGCTAAAATTGTGCTTAGAATAGGGCCCTGAAATCCAAATTTGAGTAATACCTGATGGTTATAATTTTAATGAACCCTATTGAACACCTTCTCTGCATCCAGGGAAAGAAGCAGAGAAGGCGTTCAAGAGATCTCAGTGTGATGTATAAGATCTATCAATCATCTGGTTGCATCCGAGGTTTGACGAAATATGGTGAAACCGGATTGGTCACGATGTACTAGATGAGGAAGAATATTATTCAATCTAATCGCTATTAGTTTAGCATACATTTTCAAATCAAGGTTCAATAAAGAGATTGGTCTCAAATTTTGTGGGGATGTAGGTTCCTTTCCTGGTTTCGGTGATGGAATTATGAGGGCTTGGGTCATTTCAGGGGGGAACGATGAAGAGAAAGCTGCAAAGCTGTAAATGGAGCATAGATGAGGGGTTAGAATAGATAGGAATTGTTTGCAGTATTCACCCATCAGACCATCAGGCCCTGGAGATTTGCCAATAGGGAGAGATCAAATTGTGGAGATAATTTCTTGGTGGGTGAATGGGGCATTAAGCAAATTAAGTTGTGTTTTCGATCAGGAAGGGAGTTTGATTTTTTCAAGAAAAGTGTAAATCTCGATCAGAGAGGGTTGGTATGTGGAATCATCCAATTTGTAATTGTATAGTGAACTGTAGTAGGAGCTAAAGGCGTCTGCGATGTGCTGAGGATTAAAGATTTTGGTATTTGAAGTAATGTCATAAAGAAATGGTATTCTGGATTTAATTATATGGTCTTTAATTTTACGAGATAGTGCTTTCCCTGCCTTATTAGAGGTGGAATAGAAGGTGGCTTGCAGCTTATGTTGCATATGTTCAAAGGAGTCCAATAGGAGAGATCTATGTTCTTGACACAACAATATTAATTTTGTTTTAAGAGCTTGGGTGGGCTGTGCTTTATTCTAGGTTTCAATAACTCTAATAGAGTTTAGTAGGAGATCTAAGCATTGTGACTTCTTTTTTTTTTCTAGATCCCGTTTGAATTAACAAATTTCTAATAAATGCTTTGCGAGAGTACCATACCACAAAGGGGTCAGGGACCAAGCTTGTGTTTTGAGCAAAAAATTCAGGAAGAGAATTTGAGAGCTTTGAGCATACTCTGGATGTTGCAATAAAAAATTGTTGGCTCTCCGTACAAAGATATTTGGTTGCGAGGGGGCATCTGTAAGTGATACTAAAATGGACATGGTCTGACCACGTTATGGTATGGATCGCAGACTTATGTACTTTTTGCAATAACCATTTGTCAAGTACAATCGGATCAATCCAAGATTAAGAATTGTGACAAGGAGAGAAATATGTATAGTCATGTTCACTGGCATGGTAACACCTCCACGCATCGAATAGCTCGTTGGCATGCAGGAAGGATTGAAGACATGGGGAGTGGCGTTTGGATGTAGCAGATGAGTCCATCACATTATCTGGGACAATGTTAAAGTCTCCACAAATGAGTAGATGGGCCTTGTTGCATTTTCCTAGCTTGAAGGATAGTTTTGGTGAGGAAGGCGATGGGTTTCTTGTTAGGTGCATACACATTCATCAGAGTATATGGAACATTGTCAATCGTGCAAATCAGAATAAGAAATCGACCATTAGGGTCGGCAACTTGGTGGTGTAACATAAATGAAATGGTCCTTGATCGCTATCATGACCCCTCTTTTCTTAACAGTGAAACAGGCATTGTAAACATGGGGGAAGTTCTTATGTTGGCAATATGGTTGGGCTGAAAGGGAAAAATGTGTTTCTTGTATGCATAAAATGTCGCACTTATGGTCATATGCTGTTTTCCATAATGAGTTCTGTTTTGCAGGATGGTTCAGACCTCTGGCGTTTATAGACAACAGTGAGAGTGGCATTATTGGCAATATGAATGTCCAAATCAGGAGATCGAGGAGTAATTCACATGGTGCTTAATAGCAAGATAATTTATGGCCAATGCCAACTGTAGTCAATGGTAATTAGGGTTTTGAAGTCTATTTAACTGATAATCTTCAAGCCAAAGAGAAAAAAAAAAACAAAACACAAGTCAAGAAAAAGCAGATAACAGTAAACAATACCAGTAGTGTAAAAACTAAGTGAAAAAAGCTCAGGTTGATTCAAACTGAGATGCTACAGATCAATCGGGGTGAGATTTACTTAAACAGTAATTTTGAGCTGTAGGCCAGAGGGATAACAGCGTATTACAAATGGTGGCCTCTATATGAAATCACAGATGATGTCTGCGTCTACCAGGTTGTGGTTGTCCAGGGTGAGGTGAAGCATGAGGTGAAGCTGTAGTGTTGGACTCCAGGGGTGGGTCCAGGATGATTCCCCATGTATGAAGGAGGTGTAATCCTTTATGGATGGAGTTGATAGTGTGCACATTGCCATTATGGGAGATCA